TTTGTCAGTCCGATCATAGTAAAGATATCGGATAACACCGTTATTGGATGTTACGCACCAATAACTTATTTATCTGACTTACAGCTGATAATGGAGTTATTTAAAAAATAACTCCCGTTATTGGATGCTTCGCATCCAATAATTATATATTATTTATTATAAACGGTAATATAACTATACCTTAGCATTTATTTCCATGTCAAGAAAAAGTCTAAAGTTTCTATGTGCTTTCATGTTATGCAATTTATCTTCAAGACGTTTTAGCCATGGTGTTGCAAGATGAACCTTTTTCAGTAAAACCCAATATCCACACTTAATTGAATCTGCAATAGCTTGATCAGCTAAGATTAAACCTTCACAAGAATCCATGGCAATAGACATGCATTTAATTTTGAGTTCGAATACACGATGTTCTAAAAAATAACTTGCATCATTTCCAGGAACAGAACATAAAAAAATAGGAGTATTTGGTTGAACTTCATCTAACACCAATGATATAAAGTCAAAAATTTTAGTTTTAAAAGAGAAAGCTGGCTCGAATGTGATAGATAAAAGTTCAGTTACGGCAGAAATAACTTTATCAGGACGGAAATATTTTATTGTTAATGTTTCTAGTTTAAAAAGCTTTTTTGTTATTAGCGTGTTTACAAAGAAACAAAATTAAAATAGGAAATTTAAAACTCATACATACGAGGTAAAGAAGCAACCCAATGTTCAGACATTTGCTTTTCTGGTGCATCAAACTTCAAAAATTGTGCCCATTCGTCGAAATTCTCATTAAAGTGTTTATTAAGTATCATGAAACATGGAAGAGCCATGAATTCTTTTATTTTATTCAATGTACCGATATCAAAAGCATTTTCAAATTCAGTTTCTGTAATTTGATCAGGGTATGCATGAAGTTTAATTTGAGATAATAAAATTGCAAATGTAACGTAATCTTTGCGTAGCAAAGCTCGTGATACCCGCTTTAAAGTTACTTTAAAAAGATCACGAGTGATAATTTTCAACCGTTCGTCAGGCTCTATAATATTTTTGAGATTTGGATTTTCAAAAAGAATAAATTGAAATATCTCATAGAAGTATTCGAGAGAGAACTGATAGAAGTAATGCAGTAGGTTCATTTGTGCCATGGCAAAGAAGACAGAACTACAAACACAAGCCAAAGGTGCGTATTGTGCTATATGTTCTTTCATGTAATTGTCTGTTTTTTCAATTGCGGGAATAATTTCAGCGGCTTCTTGTTTCAATTTCCTCAATGTATCTTGTATTTTATCATCATTCAAAATATTGCCCTCTGATTCATTTAAAACCTGTAAAATAGATTTTTCGAGATATCTCAGCTGCAATTTAAGTTTACATTGAGTCGTAATCGAATTCGTTAGTAACTGATCCGTATAAGATTGTTCAGCTTTAAGTAATTCATTGAGACAACGTTTTTGTAAACTACTGCGTGTCATAATAAAGTTTACAAATGTTACTTTGCTGCATACGTCTGGCGAAAAATTGAAGTAAGGATTACCAGTCAATAGGAAAAGTGAAAATGATGGAGAAAAATCAATATCCTGTTCTCCCAATCTTATTAGAACACGGTCACCATTATAACACACTTCTCTGTTGAGAATAGGATTTAAAATAGGATCAAAATGTTCAGCATCTTGAACGAATAAAAGATAACCGAAACGAAGAGCATCTTCCAAGACCTTAACAAATGAGTTATCTAAGAAACTTGTGATAATAACCTTTTTATCTTTCTCAAATTCATTTATCAAAAATGAAAAGGCTTGACCTGATGAATCAATTATGAGGGGATATCTATTGAACCTCTTGAGCATGATGGCATTTTCTGTAAATAAATCATCAGCTAAAAGAGAATTTACTTGCCAGGAAAGACGATCTTCAGGTGATGACAAATATTCTGCCACCGAAAATTCCTGTTTAATTTGAATATTGGAATTGTACAGGTGATTGATCCATTTTTTGATTAATATCTCACGATATTGCTGATCAAAATATCCACCATAGGCAAGGAATGATGCCGAAAGCAATACATCACCTACAATTGTTTCCTTCTGTGTTTCAAGTTCTCGACTAATAATTTCCCATTTTTTCATCTCAGATGATAAACTCTCAAGGTTTACAAATATATCTATTCTATTCTTAATTGAAATCATTTGCTTTTTGATAGCTTCTTTATCCTTAATTATGTCTGTATATTTATCCTTATATGTTGTTATAACATTTTCTAAGTCATTAATCATTTGATGCAGGCACTCAAGCTGTTGTTGATTTTGATTTTGTGCTACCATTAAATCTTCCATTTCCTTACGAATTGAACTATGATTTTCAAGAGTATCTGAACAATTAACAATAGCAATCACCCATTTGACCAAACGACCACATGCCATGTTAGCTCTGCTTACTTTTTCGAAATTATAGGTAGGCATGGCGAGATATTTGGTTTTAATTTTTTTTCTTATATTTTTAGTCATTTTATTAATATCATAATTAACAATACTATTAATGAAATCATCACTTCGGATGATAACTTGCACTGCTTGCCAATTATCGGCCTTGCGATCAAGCATATCAATTGCTGAAGTCATTGCCATTTTAATTGCTTCAGGAGGATTGTTCATTGCACGTATTTCAATAAGCTGTTGTTTTGTGATACCTCTTACACTCTTTTTGGCATCCTCAATAG